TTACTCCTCTTTCAGATTTATTGTTATGCGTTATAACGATGCCAATAACCTTAGTTGAAATCCTCTCCAAGTACTGGCCTTTCGGAATGTTTGAATTTTTCTGCAAATTGATTGCAATGTTGCAAGCAGTGAGCATTTTCGTATCGACGATCTCAATAACAGCCATAGCCTTTGACAGATATCAGGTGGGTGTAGACATTTATATACATGTGTACATACTTACATATTGTAATGTTGTAGTGTTAAATATTTCATTGAATTGTTCGAATTTCACAGGCAGAGGCAATTATGTACATACATGTGTATCGAAAAAGTACAAATGCCAATACAAATTGCAAATGTATAATTAAACAAATTTTGTAACGCAAATAATTTCATTGTATAGTTTAATGTTTTCTATATCTGTACCCAAAAAAATTTTTTTATTTGGACACTTACTTTCAAAGAAAAAATAAAAATTTCCAAAACATTTAAAAAATTTTCAATTGTTGATTAAAAAAAAAACTATTTGGAATTTCGCAACAAAATTTACGCAGTGTACTTTTCGACTAAAAAACTCGGCGCTGCCTGAAAACCAGTGAAAAATATTAATCTTCGTAAATTCAGGGCCTACTTGAGAATGCCTTACCCATATACAATCGCTCTTTAGCAAAAAAATGAGTTTTCAAGAAATTTTAGGAAAATGTGGGTGGCATCGCCCCCTACTACTTGACCGATCTCAACCAAATTTGGTGATTAAAAAATCTATAGAAATAGGCAATAATATTTCTCATAAAAAATAATAAAATCACGGGCTAGGGTCTTGAAATTTCAGAAAAAAAGCATTTTCGATGGTCACCCTAATGCACATACGTATACAAGTTGTCCGACCACTGCTGTACTGGCCGGAAGTATATTTTTTTTTTTAAATTAGGCATACATGTTTTTACTACACATTCAGATTCTGAAGATAAAAATACGTAGCTTTTGTTTGTAAATTTTGCTACTCAAGGGTCCAAAGAAATAAAAGAAAACAAATGTTTTTCCTTGTTTGTATTTCATTGAAACCTACGACTGTCACATTCGTGACGCATAGAAATACCCAAGTGTTAAAAAATAGTTGGTTGTGGTTTCAAGTTCACTAAACATTTATTTAAGCTTTTAAAGTTTACGATATACAACAGTACAATACTTACGACACCGTTATGAATCCCTTAAATGTAAATTTCTATATTAACGTATATTTTCTGAATACACGCATTTTATTGACAATTTTGGACATAAACATATATTCGTGTCAAACCATTTTTTTTTTAATTTCCACGCCTAGTGCCGTCTTGGCTTTAGAAACATTGAAAAAATAACAAATCAAAACGTGCCTTCACTTTTTCTCGTTTCAGCTGATTGTGTATCCAACGCGGGAGAGTCTTCAAGTAGGCGGTGTCATCAGCATACTCGCCTGCATCTGGCTACTGGCTGTGCTATTGGCTAGCCCACTCTTCATCTACAAGCAGCTGGAGGAGGCTGAAATTCCGCCACTGCTGCAAGCACTGGGCATCCATGGTGTTTGTTTTTGTGTGGAAGATTGGCCCCTAAGCAACGGACGTTTCTACTATTCAACTTTTTCACTATGTGTACAATACGTGGTGCCGATAGTGATAGTTTCCGGTGCGTATCTTGGCATTTATAGGAAACTGCAGAGTCGCACCACTGTTGTGGCAATGCAAACGCCACAACGTAAAGCCGAACGTGGACGACGTATGCAACGTACAAATTGCTTGCTAATCACAATTGCGCTAATTTTCGGCATTTCATGGATGCCCTTAAATCTTTTCAATTTATATGCAGATATGCGTAGTCCGGTAGCGGTGACGGAGAGTATGCTAATCGCCTATGCGTTCTGTCATATGTTCGGCATGAGTTCGGCCTGCACGAATCCCTTGCTCTATGGATGGCTGAATGACAATTTCCGTAAAGAATTTACAGAATTATTATGTCGTTCTAATGAAAACACTAATGTTGCTCTTAATGGTCATACGACAGGGAGTGCACAGGCGTGTCGAAGACGAAAACATACCGAAATATCCGGCAAAGGCGATTTGAAGTTATTGCACAACGGTAATGGTGCTGGCGTTCGAGGTGCTCTCACCGAATCGATGGCGTTGACCGAAAATCCCATTTCAATGGAGCTGACAACAATTACAGCGGTTCAATGACAACCGCTAAATATTAATTGTAAAATTAGGCAAGCAGAACATGTAAATATATAATTATAAAATAGTTTGCACTAAATGTATATACCTTTAGGGCCGTTTTCTGAAGTAACTTTTATAAGTTGAAAGCTCACTATATATTTAAAGGTTGGGTTAAAAGTGAAGCTAACTATGTCCAAAGTTAAGCATTGCTATTATCGGTTTATGACCTATGTATGTTTCTTGGTTGTAAACCAATTTAAACAGGTTACTTGAGAAAACGGCCGTTAGTAAATTACTTTTTATTCTAAGTGTTTTTTTTAAAACAAGACTAGCATTTGTACGTATATATAATTAAATTAAGAAATGACGGCAGATCAACTCCTGTTGAAAGCTGCGCAAAGTGTTCTGGTAGTGGTTACAATATATCGAGCCCTAACCGCCAAAATAACGTAAGCGACATTTT